GTAGACACATCCCAAAGAGTTTTATCTGCCATGCTGAGGGGTTCTGACGGCAGGAGGAAGCTCTGTATACTGTTCTAATTGCATCCTTCTTGACCTTTATGATATTCTTCTTGCTTGTTTCCATTCCTCTTCTCTCCTATTTCTTTTCTTTCTTTATGTCGATTCCTTTCTTTTCTGGTTCTCTTTCTCTTTCTGTCATCTCCTTCCTTCCTTGTAACAATCAACTAAACAAAAGAGATACTTTAAAGAAACTAGCAAAAGACTGCTAACAAATATGAAGTTTTTCCTCAGGGAGTTTTTCTCACTGCAAACATTTTCTAAAAGTGGCCTTTATACTTTTTTATGAGAAAATAGTTGTTCACACATATTGGAAACATTATTTTAATTTTTCAAAGGTTTTAAGTGGTTTTGAAATCACTATATTCTGAATTTGCTAAACTTTGTGTTTGAAGTTCTTACATTGCATTTTTAAAAGTCGTTTTTTCTAAGTCAAAAGTAATACAAAGTTGTTTGATACCTTTTACTAATACAGGATCATAGACCTTAGAAAGTGCAGACCACATGTGATTGTCCTCTACAATTTTTTGGAGGTTTTAAAATTCAAACACATACATACTGTGTTTCATGTTATTTAATTTATTGTGCACTTTTTTGCTTTTCTCTAAATTTGGAAATTGTTACAGATTTGTATATGTGTATCTAGTTTATTTTAATACTGCATTGTATTCCGTTGCATACAAACGAAGCAGACCGATTGCTGTGCCTTTGAATTATGACTCATAGTGACCCTATAGAACAGAGTAGAATTGCCCTACAGGGTTTCCAAGTTTGTAAATCTTTGTGAAAGCCAACTGCTGCATCCTTTGTCCTGAGGAGTTGCTGGTGGGCTTGAACCACCAAACTTTTGGTTAGCAGCACAGTGTTTATTTGTAGTATAATGCCAATAATACTTCTTTATTGATTGAAATGTCAATAACATTATATGTATGTGGATGTGTGTATATGTGTAGGTATATTTATGTGTGTGTATATATGACTTGATGGCACATAACAACAACAACAACAACATATATTTATACACAAACATTTTTGCTGTGATCGTATTTTTAGAAACAGATTTACTTGAACATTTTAGATTTTTTGAAAAAATAGTCAATGTGTGTCCAAAGTGTATAAGACTAATTGTTATATTTTAACAGTGAAGATCCTGGGAATTCTCTTTGTGTTTCTCTCTTTTGCCTTCTATTTTTCCTTTTGCTTATTAATTGGATAAACAAACAAACAAACAAACAAAAAACCCAAGCTATTAATGACTGTTGTTGTTGTTGCTATGTGCTGTCAAGTCGGACGTGACTCATAGCGACCCCTCCTTGGGTTTCCAAGGCAGTATCACTACGGAAGTAGATTGTCCAGTCTTCCTTCTGAGGAGTGGCTGCTGGGTTTGAACCACCAGCCTTCTGGTTAGCAGTCAAGTGCCTTAGCCACTACATTACCAAAGCTCCCATTAATGACTTGTGAATTGATAATAATTACTTTTTTTATTGACTGTTTTTACCTGTTGTTGCCCTTGTAAGTTACGTGTACATGTGTTCCCATTTTTTTTTTATTAGATCTCCTCCTTGTGGAGGTAATGTATTGATATTTTTATCAACTATAATACCCCATTTGATTGCTTGTTGGCAGTATGGTTTCATCTCCTGTTGAATATGAATACTGTTTATTTATTAAGAAATTAATTTCCAACAACTGGAAAATAATAAAAGAGAAAAAAGAAAAATCATCTATTTTTCTACCACTTAGAAAATAACTATCAGTAATTTTTTTTCCAATTGACTTTTCTTTTGTTCTTTAAAATATTCTTGTTTATTTTTACAGTTGGGAGCCCAATGAATGTACATTTTTGTGTTTCATAATATTTGTCTTTTAAAATCTATACACAGCTTGGTCAAATCCTTTCAGAGAGAGACTTGGCTATGTTTGGCTTGCAATGTCACATCTGTTGGCACCCACTTCAGTGGCTGTCCTATTCTTGCTGGCTCATAACTTCTCTAATTTTCCCAATCATTGGCTATAAAATTATCCTTCAGTGCCCTTGTGGGGACTTCTAATCTTATTCTTTCATGACTTCCTTTGTCTTCAATGCCTGCTCCATGTCATTAATCTCAAGATGTCAATTTCTGCTTGGCTTAGCTGCCCACAAGTCTATTCTTAACTCTGTCAGGTCCATGGTTCTCCCATCCACATGTTCTACTCTCCTGCTGAAGCTGTACAAGATTGAATGGAAGCTGGAGTCTAGACATGGTGCACAGTGGCCTAGTGTCAGGTGAAAACATGAGGAAGAATGGTTTTCAGTTGTGCAGGGTGTGGAGGAAGGAGCTCTAGTGGCATAGTGCCTCAGACATTTGACTGCTGACCAGAAGGTTGGTGGTTCAAACCCATGAGCCACTCTGTGGAAGGAAGATTGGGCGATCTACTTCTGTAAAGGTTTACCACCTCAGAAACCCAAAAGGAGGTCACTATGAGTCAGAATCAACTCAATGAGGCAGTGAGTTTTTTTTTTTTAATTGATGGTGTGGAGGAAAGCTTCATGTGCGGTACAAGTGAGGAACCAATGACGTTCAATTCAGGTATGGAAAGAGAATGAAAATTGTTGCTAAAGGGAAAATAGGAAATTGTGTCAGAAATTATAACTTAACATATGAGATTGAACTTTGTAAAACTGGTATTTGACCATGTTTTGATCAAAATGAACCAATTTCATATGGTTTAACCTCACACACCACAACTCATCTGACAGTGTGTTATACTGTGATAGCTTTCATGTTTCTGGGATCCTGGGAACTATGACACTGGGATTTCAAATCCCAGCATAATGGACAGGTGTCAGGGAGTTTCCAGACTAAGACAGACTGAGAAGAAGGACTTGGATATCCACTTCTGAGAAAATTGGTCGGGTAAAACCTTATGAATAGCAGTGAAACGTTGTCTGATATAGTGCTAGAAGATGAGCCTCTCAGGTTGAAAGGCACTTAAAATATGAGATGGATTGACACAATGTCTACAACAATGGGCTCAAACAAAGCAACAATTGTGTGGATGGCTTAGAATTGTGTGGTGTTTTGTTTTGTTGTACCGTGAGTTGGCACTGACTCTATAACAACTAACAACAATAACAACTTATGAACCTAGGCATTAACAATTTATTGATAATCATTAGAGATAAGAATTTTTCTAATTTTTTCCTGGCATTCAATATTCTGAAATGGTTGTCCTATGCATTTTATTTTATAATCTACTTTTTTTTAGTGAAACATGCATCATGAACATCTTTGTATACTATCAATAGATTATTGTTTCTACATATATGATTATCTTCCCTATTTGGAAATAAGAAGTAGTATGAATAATATAATCACCTATTGTGAGCATTAAGATTATTTTTATTTCTTCTTTACATGAATAATGATGATATTGGTGCTCCTATAGCTAAATATTTTAGCCTATCATTGTTATTCTTTTATGGAAATTTCTTTGAAATGGAATTCTGACATAATTAAGGAAAAATTTATACTTTGATATATATTTTAAATGTGCCTTCTGGAGAAGTTGTATCGATTTTGATTCTCATTATCAATAAATGAGAGTATCTATGTCTTCATAGTCTTATCTATGATAAATCATTAAATTAAAAAAAAAAAAAACTTTGATAATTTACTCATCTTAAAGTAGCATGCATGTTGTCTTATTTACATTTATTTGGTTACTAATGAGAGTTTTACTTTTGATATGATTATTGATTATTTGAATTTCCTTTGTCAAGAATCTTTATCTGTTATGCTCATTTTTATATTGTTAACCACATTTTTTACTTATCTATTTGTGAGAATTAATTTTGTTTTATACATATTAATCATTTGCCTGATATTTTTAACAATTTTCTACAGGTTTTTTTTTTTTTTTTACTTTTATTTTAAGAATGCTTGTTTATGTTGTATCTTCATTTACTTAGGCATATGTGTGTATATATGTGCATATAGAATATGTAAGTTTTGTTATTCTGTATAGTGTTCACATTTTTCTCCAGTTTTTAGAACTATGGGGAGACACTTAAAGTGAATGTTTCCACTGAATGTTTGCCTAAATAGTCCTATGCTTTCTTTTGATCTGTTTCTTTTTCTGACAGTTAAGTGTCCATTTGAAACGTACATTATTTTTCCAAGTTTTATCTGTTGTGGCAACACTGTTGGTTGAATAATTTATGCAGTCCACATAGATGTGATTTGGTTCTTCAGGAGTCTATGAATAGATCACTGTAAACTTCACTCTAGCTCTTTCATTCCATACTTTACATTGAAGCTATACTGATAGTTTGAAACAGAAATATGATTACATTATTTCTTAAAATCCTTCAGTGTCTTTCTGTTATTCTTAAAATAAAAACCAAAGTTCTTATTATGGTTATGAGACATTGTCATGTCTACTGTCTCCCTATCATTCCAGCCTAATCTCAAACATTCATCCTCTTGCCCCATTGGTTTCCTATCTCAAGGCTTTTCCACAGGTATTTCCTCAGCCTTACTACTTTACTTACATTTTGATAATAGCACATATGTTTCATAGTCCAGAGCACCACCTCTTTGGTAAGTGACACTGTTCTCAAAGTTCTTGGTTTTGTTCCTTGAAGTCAATTTTAATTTGATCCCTATTTCTGACTACTTCATGTTTAGATTCACCATTATACTGTAAACCCCATTTAGTCATGGTTTGTGTTTTACCTTAGATCTTCGCGTAGCATGTGACGTATAGTAAATGTTCACTAGGAACATTAGTTGAACAAATAAACAAATTCATGAATGTTTTAAACATACTTTGTAGTTAGTGAAGATTTCTTTTAGTCCCAGAATTTTAAAACAATTAAATCTATTTCAATCATTGTTGATTTCTGATAAATTCCTTTTGTCATTTCTTTGTTTTTGATCTTTTAGGCAACAACAAAGTCAATGTATGAAGCTAATTACACTGAGATATCTGAATTTGTGTTCCTGGGACTTTCTCCCTCTAGACCAATGCAGCATTTCCTCCTTAGTTTTTCTACAGTTTTTTATGTAACAATTTTTCTGGGAAACCTCCTTGTTGTGTCTACAGTGACTTTTGACTCTCATTTGCATTCTGCTATGTACTTCCTGCTAGCCAACCTCTCATTTATTGACTTGTGTCTTTCTACTGTAACAGTTCCTAAGATGATTTCTGACCTATATTCTGGGAAAAATACCATATCATTCCAGGGGTGTGTCATCCAGATTTTTGCACTTCATGTCCTGGGTGGATCTGAAATGGTGTTGCTCGTAGCCATGGCCTGGGACTGATATGTAGCCATATGTAAGCCCCTTCACTACCTGACCATCATGAGTCCACAGATGTGCATTTGGCTTCTGGTTGGTGTTTGGATTATTGGTCTCATTCACTCAGTGGCCCAGCTAGCTTTTGTTGCCCATTTGCCTTTTTGTGGCCCTAATGAGATAGATAGCTTTCACTGTGACCTACCTCGATTCATCAAACTTGCCTGCACAGACACCTACAGACTTGAGTTCATGGTTACTGCTAACAGTGGATTCATTTCCATGGGAACTGTCTTCTTACTGATTTCCTCGTACATCTTTATCCTGGTCACTGTATGGAAAAGCTCACCAAATGGCTTGTCTAAAGCCCTCTCTACTCTGTCAGCTCACATCACTGTGGTGGTTTTGTTCTTTGGACCATGTATTGTTATCTATGTGTGGCCATTACCCACAGTTCCAGTGGATAAGTTTCTTAGCACTTCAGACTTCTTGATTACACCTATCTTGAATCCTACTATTTACACATTGAGGAATAAGGCCATGAAGACTGCAATGAGAAGACTGAGTAGTCAATTATGGAATTTGAGGAAAATCACCTGATAAAAGAGAGTAAAATCACTTTGTGTATTTTCATATAACTTTGGGTAACACAAATTCTTTTTTTTTTTTAAAGAAGAAATGCTTTTAATATGAACACTATGGGAGCACAGAAATATAAGCAAAAACCAGTATTCTATCAATGACATCATTATCTCATCTAAGAACAGAAATTAAGTACTAAGGAATGGCAAGAGGAAAAACATAGAAGTCCTATTCAATGTACTCTGTTACGGAAAATGACGTTTCTCTGGCTGTGGTCACAGCTCCATCATCTCCACTTTCTGTGTAAGTTCAGCTTCATGGTATCCAATTCTCTCTTTGCTTCTTCAATTTTCACTTGAGCAAGAGATGGATTGGAGCTGTGGTCTGGCAGCGATCCTGAGCGATCCTGACGGTACAGACAGCTTGGAGATTCCCGAGTGGTGGTAGGACCCAAGAATTAACCTAAAAATCACCCTGCTAGCCAGCGAATGCACATAGGACTGTGCACAGTGCCTGGGGAACAAACGGAGAAGGTGAAGAGAAAGGTGGGCTGAGCTGTGGACTTTTGCCGGTCAGGAGAGTGCCACCATTTAGAAGGTTCAAAAAAAATTCTTATACAATTATACAGAATTGGAACTTATCTGACAGATTGTCCAAGTGTTGATGATTATTGAATCAAATATGGTACCTGTTCTAAATTTAAGAGGGTAATATCTCTGATTGCTTTATCCAAAGTAATAATTTGCTTATTACACATTTTATATTTCATTTACTGGGCTATATTTATGTACTTTCAAAAAAAAAAAAAAAAAAAACAGAACTCACTGCCATTGAGTTGATTGCAACACATAGCTACTCCTCCTTGGGTTTCCAAGGTGGTTTCTCATTGTCCAACCTTCCTTCTGAGTTATACACTTTATGACTTTCAGATATTGAGAATCCACATTATTTTCTGTGCATGGCCTGTATTATTCTTAGTCCATCGATGATGTTGTAAAGCTTCAAAAAATCTGGATCAAACCACTAATGGTTCTGTTATTTCCCCCTATTTATTGAAGTTGTCAATTATATCATTTTACTTGGATCGAGAATCAACACCCACAGAAGCACCTGTCAAGAATTCAAACTACTTACTATATTGAGCAAATCTGCTCTAAAAGTCCTGTTAGAAAGCTATGATGTCATTTTTGAGGACTAAAGTGTTCCTGCCCCTGAGCCATGACATTTTACATCACCTCGTATGCATGCAAAAGCATGACAATGAATATAGAAGACTGAAAAAGAACTGATATATTTGAATTACAGTTTTAGTGAAGAATATTAAATATATCATGGGCTGGCAGAAGAATGAACACATCTGTCTTGGAGGAATTACAGCCAGAATGCTCCTTAAAAGCTGGGATGGGGCAATTTCAGCTCAAGTACTTTGGACATGTTATCTGGAGGGAACAGGCCCTAGAGAAGTACATCATGCCTAGTAAAGTAGAGGGTCTACAAAAACGAAGATCCTTAATAAGATAGATTGACACAGTGCCTGCAACCTTGGGCTATAACATAGAAACAATTATGAAAACAGCACAGTAGTGATCAGCATTCTGTTCCATTGAACTTTGGGTTGTTATGGATCAGAATAAACTTGATGGCTCCTAACAAAAAATGAACAAACAAACAAACAAAAACAAACAAAAAACACGGATTGGGAAACTTCCTAATATAAAATAAATTAACTGTCACTATTTCTTCCTCTGAAACAAAGTAACCTATGCTATATACTGATTTAAGTTTATGTTCATTGCCTTTGTTAGTTTGAAAAATGCTCTGAATTAATCAATGTAAAAGAAAAACTATTGTAACTTACCATTTTATAATGTTCAAAATAAATTGTTGATTATTACGTTCTGAAGTATTT